ACAAAATAAGTCTACTACATACCACATACAAAATAAGTCTACTACAATACAAAATAAGTCTACCGCATACAAAATAAGTTTACTACATACAAAATAAATCTACATACAAAATAAATCTACTACAGACATACAAAATAAGTCTACTATATACGAAATTAGTCTACCAGACTACCACATACAAAATAAATCTACTATACAAAATAAATCTACACACTAAAAATATTATAAAATATTTTAATAGGTTTTTATGAGATTATTCACATAAATTTATTGTTTGATAATTTAACTCTATAATATTTTAATTGTTACAAGATTTTATCATATAGTTAATATAAAATCACAATGTGTAAGAATAAGTGTTTTTGTTATTAAAAATATGATTATGTATATATATTTTTTGGCATGCATAATATGAATTAAGATATAAATTAAACTTTAATGGTTTGAGATATAAGTTCAAATATTTCAAAATATTTTGTAATTAAATGGATGACTGACTAAAACTTAAATTTTGATATGAAAATTTTTAAATGTGTTTATCCGCGTTTTAACGCAGATCCTATTCTGTAGGTGATGCATAATTATATATTCCTTGTCAACAGATTCATTTAATTTAAAACACAATATTCAAAACAATCCTAACGACAAATGTTACATATTACTATATTAGGCTACAAACAAATATCAGTTTTGTTACATTTTCAATCGGTTCGGTTGAGTTGGGTTCAGAGATAGACGTATCATTCGGCTAGTGATATCCAACAACACAGCTAAACTAATTAGAGTTTTGCAATTATAAAAAGTTGTAATCCTATGCGACTCCTAATAGAAGTCTAAAGACATTGTGTCCGATTGTAACTTCTAGTGTATCTCTTGCTATGGTTAAGATCCAAAAGTAAAGAGATTCCAAATGTAACTAATTTCTATAGATGACCAAGAAATTTTGCTGAAACACATCTTCTTTTCTTGTACTGTTTCATTGTATTGATATACCCAAATAACATCACCAAAAAAAACTTTTTTTTTTTTCCTTCATGGGTTTGAATCGAAATCTCCTAAAAAGGGTAAAATTTACAAAAGTAATCATATCATCTTCTATTGGTTGGTGGAAGAACGATTTAGATGCTTACTTCTTCTCCCTTTCTTCATCAATGGCTACAATCACAAACTCATGATTCTGCAAATCATAAGCACACCGAGTCATTCCCAACAAGTCAATAAAACTTGACTCTGGGATTTACATAAGAGCTCTTTAGACAAAGATCAAGAGCCTAACCTTTAGAAGTAACTAGGGAAATCCATCATCCCATACTCAAGAGCTGCATATACAGAAAAAAATTCCATTTCATTATTGATACATACACTGTTGCTGATTATTAGTTCTAGTGGTCAAACATGTAAAGCAAAGATGAATTCATCAAATTAAAAGGTAAAAGGTTGGATTAACAAGTGAAGAACGATGAACCAAGCGAAAACAAAAAAAAAACAAGATCTGTTGTGTAATGACATAAGCCAAGTTGCAGGGAGGATTTGATGATCACAAAAGCATATTTTGTCACCTAAGACTCACATCTCAATAGCTAATGGTTGCATGTCTCTTTTTGAGTTTATGACCTATCATGTGATGCTAGTTTGTTTTCTAAGTTGCATTCTTAAGCATTCTCATTTTAAACATCGAAACCATTATTTTCTACCTTTCGTAACAATCAGTATGTAAACTCACAATCTTCTCAGTCAACATAACCAGCAAAATTCCAGCAATGTATTGAAAGGAAACCCCTTAAGGCTACTCTTTTCATGCTATTAGAGTCACACTTAGACAGAAAAGCAATAGACGAACCCATCGTAGTACTCAATGCTTAAGCTATAGCAGCAACACAGAAGCAGAATCAACTTTCTAGCTCATGAACAGTCATTCTAAGAATGTTTCCAGGCTCAAGTTATAAAATCAATAAACACAAGTAACATTGCAACAAGATCAAAGCGAAATGTAACCAGGATCTCCTAGCATGACCATTCAAGTTATAGCTGTAAGAAGCAAAACTACTTTACTTCCGAATTTTGTTTGAATTTTTAACTGATGGATTTATACTTCAACAATCCGTTGTGCAACAAGTCTCTCGTTTGCACAGAGAACCACAAGTAAAAAGTAAACTCCTTTTCCACTCCTATGCTATATAGCAAATGCAATACCAAAACCAAAAGAAGAAGAAGCCATGAACAATGGAGAAGGGCAAAGTACGGCGAGAGAATGGGGTTTCATGTCTCACCGGCGGAGGCGGAAGAAGTCGGACCATGGGAACCAGAGGTACGCCTGAGCTTGTGAAGACGAACCTGCATCTCAGTGAACAGTTGCATTCTATGGCATTCCATTTCCTTAGCGAATCTCATCCTCTGTTTCTCCAACTCCACCATTTCTTTACGTTTCCTCTCCTCGACCCTCTCGTATATCTGCCCAAGCTTCTCGATCGCGTCGGCGACTTCCTTGTAGCCTTGATTCCGTTCAATTTCCTTCTCTCGCTTCCTTTTACCGCCGCTCCGGCCACTCGATCTGGACCTTGATCCATCGGAATCATCTTCAGACGCAGGACACGCAGCCGCCGCTGCTGCTGCCGCGAATGCGTTAAGATTTCCGCGAATTCCGAGCAAATCGTTACCGCCGATAGGCATAATCGCCGGCGCCGGCGCCGGACGTCTAGGGATCGCCGATCGTGGAGCGACGGGAACTGGAATGATCGCCATCGGAAGCGATTGCCTCTGGTTATCAGTGGAATCAGGAGTACTAGACGTCGGAAAACTTTCCCAGAGAAGATCATCGAGAGCGGAGAAGAAAGGCCATGGGCTGATGTAACCACCACCACCAGCACCGGGAATCGATTCCGAAACCCTAGCTTTCTCGACTTTGTACTTCTTCTTCAAAGTGTCGATCCGGTTTTTACACTGAACGTCGGTGCGATACGGCTGAGATTTAGCGGCGGAGACGTGACGGCCGGTGTTGAAGTGACGGTCGTTAACGGCGTTAGCAACCTCCTGCCAGTGTTTCTGACGGAGATTACCACGGCTAAGCTCGACGTAGCGACAACCCCAGGCTTGGATTAGCGTGAAGGTCGCTTCCTCGCTCCAGCAATCTTCCCGAGAAAGCATCGACGGTGAAGGACGAGAAGATCCCGGAGAAAAAGAATCGTCCATCGTACGGTGATGAACGACGGCGAGTTAGATCGGAGAAGATGAACGGTAGAGGATGAGAG